AACATAATAAGGAAATAGCTGCGAGTTTCCCAAGTATGCTCTCCAAAACTGTCGAAAAGTAAGGAGAATGACTTAACACGAGTTGCAGTGTACCACGAAGTTTTCCGACGAAATTTCCAATTTTTTTTGTGCAATCAACCTTTTTTACTTCCACAGAGATATTTCGTAAGCACATTACTTGTTTAAGTAATCAGCATCACAACATATGGTAATAAGTTCGACGTTGAGCTCTTCCGACTCTGCTCTCATTTTTGTAGCAACGAGGAGACTGTTTAGATTGAAGCATTCTTTATTAGTAATGCCATGACTGGGAGGCGGTGATCAGGGTTATGCATGTTCAGTATACACTTTCTCCTCGAGGCTTGAAGACGTTTGTTCCGACTCGAGATTTAAGGATGCTGACCAATTCCTAAGAGATGTTATTAAACAGACGTGACCCCTCATCTTTTTAAGCACCATTCCTGATGCTTCCTTAATGAATAGCCTCTGCATATACTATTTGCAGTAAGCTTCTTTCGTCAACTTCGTGATGTTTCTCGGGTTATAGGGAAAAACACAAACAGAAAGGAAGGATTTGGACTGCTCTCCACCAAGTGTTCTTCGACAATTCTGTGCCGTCATTTTCCTCTCATGTGAGACCAAAGGTAATTTTTGAGCCATTTGTATTACCAGTGCAATAGTGATCAACAACATGATTTTGCGAGTTACATGGTCAGTAGCAATAGTAAAAACATCATGGATAAAAGTCCATTTATGCAAACAACTGGATTTCAATATAATGTTTGATGAATACCAAATACTTCCATACGGTAAAAGTAAGTAGGTCCTCTGAACATTAACGTAAAAATGCGCAGAGTATCGATAATAGCACGCCTCTGGTATGCACAGACATTCTTTTAACCGCCTTCAAATCCACAGCGAATGAGGCAACTTCACCGAGCCTGACGATCAAATGGATATGATAGCAATAGTCCAAACTCTCTATAGAGGATGAGGTCTCAATGTTCCAAGAAGGTGCTGAGTTTCCTATGCACCCGGTGATCCCAGCCTCATTGGTTCAAGGAGTACTCCAAGGGTTAAATGAGCCACTGGACCACGTGGGAAAAAGGGAGATGCTAAGTGCATTTAGAAAAGGTAGTGGTGGCCTGTGCTTACATCAGAACAGCATATTTAATACCAAACTTGGGCAACTCACAGCAGCTTTAAAAGGCCTCACCTTACGTAGATCACCCCACTTTAATCCATACCAACAGATTTTCCGAGGGAAAGAATCGGTATTGACATCATGGTTTCACTACCACTCGCTAAAAAAGGAAGTCAAGGCAGTATGGTTATTGTACGCAGAACCCATAAAGACATGAGGTGCTAAAATGGTAGCTTGTGTTTCCTTCAATCACTGGATTTGTTAACGCTGGATACCTGAAACGATGTGCAACGACTAAGGCTGGAATTCGACTCTGCTGAAATGTGCATAAACTTCGGGAGCCCCAAGACAAGCAAGACACCTGGACATTGGCAAGGTACTGAAAAAGTGGAGAGAACGAATTACATTCTGGCTGGAGTACAGAATGTCTTCACTAGAAATGCACAACTGAGAGATTGAGGTTTAAGCCTCGGCCGGCGACTTCTTGTTTACAGTGGAGGCTAGAGTCCACATATCAACCGGCGTTTCACTGATAAAGATGCATACAGGCTGTAAAATATAAGTGCCTTTTGGTATTTTTTTACCAAACAAGAAAGTAGCAACTAACAATTTTTATCCAGTGCGCTGATCGTGACTGAAGGAAGGAGTGTGAGAAAATGTCGACTTTACACAGGAACACCCACGACAGCCATGTCTCGGGCAGAAGGGATATTACAACAGAGTCAAATTAACTTCTACGGAGAAAGGGACATAGCATAGAAGTACAAGCCGACCATGCCCCTTGGTTGTTTGTTTAAATCTCTGTTTTAATAGAGGGGCCACTCAGGTGCTCCAACAATGTACAGTTTGCCGGGTGGACTGGCCTCTGAACTATGCCAGTAGCGTCAATCCTTACTGTACATCGACAATGCATATTCTGCGGGAGTATTGTTTTCTTTCGTCTTCAAGGAAGCCTTAAGGTGCCAAAAAAAGTGTCGTTAGATTGTCAAATTCAAAAATAGCAAAGCTGAAGTAGTAAGGAAACAATGTGCCTACGCTTTTAGGATAATGAAAGCAAATAATGTTGAAAAACGTTTTAATTGACATCGGTGAGTCGTTGAGAAAACATTGTGGTTTGCTTTTGGCTGCAATCCTTACAGAGGCAACATTCTCAAGAATGCAGGGAAAACTGAAGAAACTCCCACTAAAGGTGACAAAGTTTTGAACACTATAAATGTACTTTCAATGAAGTGCTTGCCATGTTTGTCACATTCCATTGATAAAAAATGATAATCACACATGTGGGATGAGTAGTTGCAAGGGAGTGGCACAATATGGCTAGCAAATACAACAGCATCAAACCCTTTATAACTGTTTAGTGACTTTCTTTCATTGCGTTTCCTAATTATCCTAGGAGCATTACCGCTACGTGCTTCATGAGAGCACTATGATTTTGTGCTTCATTTTTGTTTCACAGTAAAAAGCTATCTATCCATCGAAAACCGTTGGGTTGTGTAGCAGTACCGATGATGTTTTTACAGCAAATCCAAACTTCAGAGTGTATTATTGCAGGTGGAATTAGAGCCAGAGACATAATTACATTTTAGCTAAAATTGATCCTCAACCTCACCCTCATTTTGATCAACTCCTTGAAAGGTTTGCTATTCCAACTGCCTTTGGTGGGAACATGAATGGCGCCGGCATTTTGATCGTGCACAAGGTTATCAACACAATTGAATGTTTGAATCGAATTGTTCACTGAACCACCAACTACCGCTGCAATCAGACTGACGTTCCACCACGCAAGTCCTTCCTGGATGGTTTGAGGAATGTGGCAACGCATTTTGGACGATGAGAGCGATTTATTCCACCAGTTTAACGTATTGCAGTGCACTAAGGCAATTAGAGGATCCTACAATTTCACCTGGTCTGTGGCGAACAGACCCTTTGAGGGTACTTTGCATGGCGACAACCCATTATTTTTGTAGCAGAGAACCAAGATTGCAGGTATAGAATGTTTTAAATGACATTGGAGCACCTCCTATCGATGCGTATAGAAGTTGGACACTGGGCTAACAATGGACATTCGTTGTGTTTGGATTTCGTTCTCCCTTCCTGACCAATAAATCTTACTGTAATGGTTGTTAGCGTGATGTCTGTTACAGAGGAGAAAGTGTGCTCTGGACAACCGCAGCCTGATTACTAGTCTACATAATGTTCTTGTAAAGAATGCCCAGCATAATCAGTGTACTCTTTCCAAGGGAATGAAGGTCGAGTTGGAGGAGGTAAACACCGACTCCGTAACACTTGCGACAGCGCCGACGATCGTAACTCTTTTAAGAGACACATGAACTTTGAAATGTTATTTAAAACCGCAAGATTCAACATCTGGTTCTCTCCCGACGTCAATGAGCACTGCAGATTCCGTAGAAATTGAACCAAAACCTATTTTTGGCCATTGCAGGGGTAGGGATGACCACAGGTACCCAGTTGGAAAAGCGCTTTTGATGCCTTAGTCTATGTCATCAGGGTCCAGGAAGAACAGACACCGGCCAAAGAATTATTTCATTTCAGCCAAAAAGTGGATAAAGAAAATGAGGGGGAGTACACGAACAACCTTCAGCTACTAGAGGGACGAGCCTTACCCTACTCCACTCCAATCAAGATAATTGTCTAGTTTAGCCACGGAGTTTTCCCGGGCAATAAGCTCCGCGGCACGAACACTAACTGCCTCAGTGAGCTGGTAACGTTCGCAACAAAACAGCGTCGGTAGTTGTTTAAGCTTACGCACCACATCAGTCGCAAATGGAGATCAAGCCTGATACCATGATGCCCGATATTGAAGCCCTCGCTTCATCGTCTTGCAAACGGCATTCAGCAGAAGGAAATCAAGTTGTATTCGAAGAGGATACGTCATTAAAGGTCAGCATAGGCAAGGGAACCTTAACAGTTGAATTTATTACAAAACCGGAACTAGCTTAAGATACACTCCTTGGCGTCGATTTTTACGTAGAACTAAAGCCGTTTTGATTTTTGCAGAAATTACTCTCTTCACTCACCAAGTTACTGAAGTCACGGCAGCCCTCTCGCTACTGAATAAAGACATCGGCGATATTTGCAATATCCCTTTTGAAATTGTTACTATTTCCATGAACACCCTAGACCATCACTGCACGGAGCTCATTTGTGAAAAATTTTATGGGCTACTAATTAAGCACATAAAGTTTCTTATAGTCTGGTGTTAAGCTAGGAAGAACAAGCATTGTACAGCATGCGACAAACACCAACGAAGCTAGACCGATGTGGAGGCCACCTAGACGCAGACCACGCCTTCTGCTCAAAAAAGTAAAATCATCAAAAGCACTATGGCCCTCATATATTAATTTAGTGGAAACGGAAGAGGACAGAAGTCCACGGCTGTGCACTGACTATAGGAAGCTGAGTGCAATATTAAAGGGGGATGCCTTTCCGCTAATTTACATAAACGCTTTGTTAGACTGCCTACACGGGTCAAAGTGGTTCTCCACCCTGGACTTATAATCAGGATACTGGTCCCATAATTGATGAACCCAAAAAAGTTTTTTTCTATGCAATGGGAATAACTTAACACAAAGGCAAACCATGGTGAGAAATAATTTCGACTTTTATACGCAAACAACGAATTTGATTTGGTCGTATATAAAAATAAAACTAGCCAGGTGTGAGGCTTGAAATGACACCAGGTAAGCACTTCATTATTAGCCAAATGTAGCCCTGCTAGACACCGACACAGCTTTTCACGTATCATAGAAATGTGGAGAAGTTATGGCAGCCCATCATTAAACGGGACAAAGGGAAGTGTAGACCAATTTTTGAGGTACAGCAGATTATGATGACATCAGGACGTGGAAATGTTGGAGCAGGAGACACCTGAGTCTGAGGCGATGATGGCCTTTAATTCGTCTGCCGAAAGGACTTCCTTCTCAAGAAGTTCATCAACAATGCGACGCAGTTTCAACTCGTTCTGCTTAATCAGTGTCATGGCGCACTGGAATGCCTCCGCCACGAGGCGCTGCACCTCACAATCAATCATTGCCGCGGTCCGCTTACTGTAAGGCTCCATCGAGAAGGGATTCTGCGAGTGATCCTGTGAGAATAAATAAATCAACAGCACTTGATTGTGGGATGTAATTGTTGCAGTAAGTGTGTCAATCTCCCCTACCTTGGTTCTCACGATGGGTGTGCTACACCGTTATTCAATGTGATGGATAATGCAATAAACAGAGATGGAAAATTAGCGGGTAAAGGAAAATTTGACAGCGCACTAAAGGCTATTTGGAGCTGAGCTTTAAGTAATCACAACCGCTGCAACATTTCAGGTAAGATGGTGCTCTTTTCAAAGAATTTGGCTTGCAGTTAGCTGAGGAGTAACCTAACGCTCAGGCAATTTCAGGAATGACTGAAAGCACCAGTGATTTATGGGCGGCAATGAAGTACTCCAAGCAAACGTTTTTTGTTGAATTATCACCTCTACTAAGAGAAATAGATTAAATCATCAATGAATACGAATAGAAGTAAAAAGCGGTACTATGAATTGGCCCCTTGCTGCAGTGCGGGCCAAACAATTACTTGTGTTGACCATTTAGCAACCACCCTAACCTATCTTCATCCACATCCCAATCCCCACCATCTACTTAGGTCACTTCATCTCGCTTCATTGTCACGAATAGTCAAACACTGTTAAAGTGCTAACCAGGTGAAAGTCAGGCTCTCAATAATTTAGTAGTACACTGAAAATAAGCGCATCTACATCCATCTACTACGGCTGATTTACTACAACAACCAATAGCGATTTCACCTGTATCTTTTATACACTAATTCACAAATTTTGACCCGCATTCCAGAACAAAATCCGGGCGCGAAATAATTTAGCTAAAGGTTCGCTGGAGACATTGGCCAAAGACTTGGAACTTCCAATAACGGAAGTGAAATTCCTCAGGTTATGAAAAGTTTTCTTAACTAAGGGTTTGGTGGAAAGGATAATACAAGACGATAACAATTACGCAGGAATATTACAGATACATGAATGCAAAATTTTATGGTTTACTGAAGCAGAAAAATCCCAGTCTTAGTGATTCACGAATTAAACAGAGCAACAACAAAGTAGGAAAAAAAGCTAAAATAGAGGCTTACGCCAAAACTAAGGTTGCCCACAGCCTTGGACATCCCCCAATCTCGCACTTCCTTGTAGGCTAAGTCGGTAGCCTTCTTGAGATACTGCTGTGAGGCTGAAATGGCAGAACAGGGGAACGAAAATTGTCTTACTATCGATGTACGCACGTAAGCACATCCCTGCAAAACTTATGGCCGGGAATCAGCTCTTACTGAAATTCGATTCAGTAGAACTGGATAAAACGTCGCATTGCCTTAAGTCATTGGCGACTTTTCAGATTGCATCTTTTTGGAGCAGCAGAATAACTTACCAACTCACATATCACATAAAATCTTCGGAAATAGTTGGAATGTAACATCGGTGGCTAAGCGGTGGGATAAGCCAATACTGGGTACCAGTGAATAGCCAACATATTAAATCAGTTGACCGAAGTATGACAAACGGCTGGGGAAGCACATTAAATGGAGGTCAGAGAAATCGTGGGAAAAGATGGATACGCTAGTTTTTAAAAAAGTTCATTTGACACGTTCCGTATCGAGGTTAGTTAAAGAGTTGGATTTGGACTGAATGGAAATTTGTTTATAACCAAAAAATGGCTACCAAGGACAGGGTCTACTGACCGCCGGATAAAACGCTAGAGCATGCACCTCTAGCCGTTCACTTACGAACAAAGAAAGACCCTTCCAGAACTTGCAAACGTCAGCTCACCATCAGAGGAGGCCTTAAAGACGAACTCCTCTGCAGCCCTACCGGCGAGGAGAACGGTGAGCCGGTCGGCGATGTCGTCACGGGAGAGAAGGAGGCGCTCTTCGGGGACAAATTGGGTGAAGCCAAGGCTACCGGAAATGCCGGAGTCGCCAGTGGAGGCGCGAGGCACGATGGAAACGCGGAACGGCTTTAGTCCCGTTGAGGGTAGTAATGAAGCTATTAGTGCCCGTCCCGCCTCTTGTACCGCCGCCACTCGACGCTCAGGCTGCGAGAGCGGACTCGAGCGCTTTGCTGCACCTGTCCCAATGCAATCGCAAGCGATTTCACAGGTTGGCTTTCCCTTCCCATATTCTATTTCAGATTGGTTCAACATTTAATTTAACCAGTCCTCAACCAGACTACAGATGATAATTTTGATGGTCATCTCAATGTACCACAACGTGGTCAATTGAGGGTCAAATTAAATTTGAACCTTGCCTAAGCGTAAACATAAGCTAGAAGAACCTTACAATGATCCTGCGATTATCGCATATAGCGATTCAAAATTAGGACCACATATAAGATCAGACCCCCGTCATTGTAAATTCATCCCATAAACTGTCGTGATATTAAGGATTGGTAACAGAAGTGGGGAGAAAACAGAGGTGAAATTCTTGCCTGCGAGAACACGCTCCAGAGCGCTGTCGAAATCTGCAACTTGGATGCCCTCTTCAGCATGGACACCTCTGGCCGTGATGAGGGCGGCTTCGTTGCAGAGTCGCGCAATGTCCGCACCGGACATGCCGGATGTCCATGTGGCCAGGTGGTCGCGCAACGCCGGCACGTCGATGCTGGTGGCCAGTTTGTACTTGCCTGCGGGTCGCAAAAGACAATCATTGCTATTTGAAGGTAAGCCTTCCCATTTAGTGCCATTTATATAGGGCGGTTCATATACGTCGGTATTCATTTTAACGTTGAACAATAACAGACTCATCTCCCAGGGAAATTAACTCAACCAAGAACCAGGAATATCAACTGCCATTACTAAAATTGGCGTTATTGTCACTGTGATAGTGACTCCTCATGGCAAATATTGCAGTTATGATAATCAAAAATAGTTCTGTGACAAGTAAAAAATCTCAACTCACCGAGATACATGTCCAGAAGTTCCCTACGTTCAGCTATATTGGGTAGATCGATGAAGATGTGGCGATCAAATCGGCCGGCCCGTAGCAGAGCCTTATCCAGCAGATCAGCGCGGTTCGTTGCCGCAAAGACGATGGTTCCCTCCGTGGTGTCCATCCCGTCCATCTCCACCAACAACTGATTCAAGGTCTGCTCCATTTCTGCTACTCCGCCACCACCACCACCTGGCCTAGAAAGTATTTTAAAAAAGTGCTAAGAAACCTTCGCATCATTGACATCACACGAATGGGGGATGCTAGAATACGTGGATCAAAAACCGCACATCGTCCTTTTCCGGTCCTGAGTATCATCTTTAGTGCACACACTTGACCTTTCAGAAGTGGTCACAGAAATGCTGATGGCACGAAAAGTCTAATGTCAAATTAAAAAGACCCCCAATTTGGATTTCGTGGATTTACACTAGATTTCACATAAATAAGTTCTGCAATGACGAAACTTATTGAGGAATTCAACCGAAAAATGATGATGAACACACCACATGAGAATCTTCGTCCAAAAAAAAGATCTCAGCTAGATGAAATAGATCACAAAATAATATTTTAAGACGTTCTATCCTGACTGCATTATTCTCTACTCGTCAATTTTTATGATACCGCTCAGCATTCCACCTGAAGTATTCTCAGTTCATGGCAATGATGTGAAGGGTAAGACAAAAGGATTAGTGCTTCAGCGAAAACAATGCGGAAGCGAAGTTATTTTTGCAATAAGAAAAAAATTTAAAACGCTTAGTAAAAAAACTTGGTCCCTTACTGAGGACTGTTTTCGCTTTCCCCATGTATTGTGAGAATATCACCCAATTCCCTTGCATTTAATGTACTTAAAAGCTCTCATAGTGGATAGACAATCCAATTTGAGGCCATTGCCAATTGAGATGATTGCTAAGTGAGACATAGTTATCAGTTATCATAGTGTCCTATGATAACTGAATGGTGCATAAGTGAAATGAATCGGAATATTTCACCATACGAGTGTCACTAAAAAATAATAGCAATAAGCAGAGCCCTCTTATGATGGCCAACAAGTGGTAGAAACTGTAAGCATAGACATTTGATAGGAACAGGGACTTAAGTAGGTGCAGACTAATAGACCGTGTAGCATAGTGTATACATAGCACACCAAACGACCTATCCAAAGCCCTGCCAGTGTTGAACTTCTTATCATTCTGTTGATAAAAAATGTTTGAGGAAAGTAAAGCACCGGCAAAGAAAATAAATTTTTAGCATACGCCGAAGCAGAACGTTTACGTCCAACGGAATCGATCTCGTCAATGAAGATAATGGAGGGAGATCTCTGTCGGGCAGCGTTGAAGAGTTTGCGGATTCGTGAGGCGCCAAGACCACCAATGATCTCGATGAACTCCGAGCCAGCCATGGAGTAGAAAGGCACGCCGGACTCGTGAGCAAGGGCCTTGACAAGAAGAGTCTTGCCCGTCCCCGGAGGACCCAGCAGAAGCGCACCTTTGGGTAACTTTGCACCAAGGTCCTGGTACTTAGTGGGGTTTTTGAGATAAGAGACAAATTCCATCACCTCCTCCTTTGCTGCATGCATGCCCGCCACATCCTAAGGAATTGAATTATTAATTGGTTTGGTAAATGGAGTGAAAGGGTGTTTTATTTCTCCAAGCAACGCTTTTAAATTACTTTAGAACAAGCTTTCCGAACATTTGCCATAAATGGCAGAATTTGTTATCCCATGAAGGTATTAGTGGGTAATTTCATACGAAAGCAGAACCACCAAATAAATGAAACAATTTAAGTGGTTTAGCCAATTTTAGCAAACTTCTGTACTCAGAGTTCATGATCATCAAGACAGGTCCACCCCAACACACAAAATAGTAACCCAATATAGCACTATAAGTCACAATTTCTCAAAAAGTCATAAATGAGTAAAATGGTAAAAAGACAACACCAGTGAACGAATTTTGACAATAACCAATTGAAAAGTTCAGCCATTTCAAGATACACCAATAGTCAAGTTCTAAATTCAAATCTGTTTATTTTGAAGACCCGTCTTTCAGAAAACTACTACACCTTCAAAAGCAGTAAACGCTTCTTGCATTGAGCACCTATCAAAACGGACGCTTTATTTAAAATAGAAGGCAATAAATCAAGGTAAGTCAGGCTGCATAAAGAGGTGTAAAAGATACGATAAAAGTCGATGTTTGTGCAGAAAACAATCAAAGTCTAAACCAAGTCTAAGCTGCTTTTAAGATGATTTATCCCCAATGTTCAATTCGTTGTAGATTAGGCCGGATTAATAAGTTTAGATACAGAATACAACTCACATCAAAAGTGATATTGGTGGTGATGGGTTCAGGCTCTCCCATGCCGGGAAATGCATCAAGGAACGGCATTCCACTACCAAAGCCCCCAGTATAACTGCCACCGACGCTCGGCTCATCCTTGGAATGTCTAGGTAACGGTGGTTGTCTCTGCTTTTTTTTCATCGTGCGCCCCCCAACGTCGCTCTTCTGGTAGAAGAGCTTCCGCAGAGCCACCATAATTGCCTCTTTTGGTGGTAGGTCATGGGGAGCGTTTTTGCGTATCCATAGCAATGCAGCAGTGGCAGCAACGGCTGAGGAGAGTATAACCGTAATTAAGAAGCCATTGGTGTTCATTTCGTGGCTAAAAGCAGTAACATTCCAGCGGCATTCCAGGTCGAGCAAATAAATGAAGTGGTTGAAAAATATTGAAGGCTGATAGGAACTCACGCAACAGTAAGAGGTATTTGATCGGACTGAGGAATACCAATTTTTGCCTCGAATAAACGCACACGACGTTCAAAATCAAGAGCTGTTTCGTTTTGAAGAGGAACACAAACTATCTGGAATAGAGCAGATGGTAAAAGGGACACATTTTTAAGTTTAGTAAGAAATTGTGGTAGGAAATTTGAATAAATTAGGTACGAGGAATGCGAAAAACGGTTGCAAATCACCACCATCTAACTTTATTATTCTCTTAATGTAGCGCTCCAATAACCAACTCCTAAGTAATAAGTTGCGATACCAAATATCAGAGTCAACAAACAAAAAAGCCTTATCTAAAACAACCTTTCTAGATGAATAAAATCCAACGTGGAACAGTTCTTTAGAGAGGAAGCTCAGATTTCAAATTAAGCACATTTAAAACTCATTGAATTGGCGTTGAAGCAATTTTTCTTGGCATCTAATGCAGCAAATTAAAAAGCCCACCTCGGTCAGTTCTCAAGGGGTAAAGAAATCGTATAAACAGTGGCAAAAGGAATATGAAGATGAGGGATGGAAATGATCCCTGAGATGATAAGGTCTCACCAGTATTTATGGAATGGGATTCACCAATGATTTACTTTACATAATTTTGGGTCCTAAAGCATGTTTTATAAATCCAGTCAGCACAGATTAACAACTGAATAACTCTTCAAATAATTTAGGAAAAACTAAAGAACATTCCCCACACAATAAAAAAGAACGGCGACAAAGAAGCAGGTATGATCAAATGGGCCTCTGCACGAGATAATAAAATAAAAAAGATCTGTCTTACAAAGACAGCATTCCCATCTACAAATTGTGCAGACTGAAGGAGAACAAGCGCTCTTCCACGAGTCTGTGAGACTTGAATGCTGCGAACCTCACCACGAGAGAGAAATTCTTCAAAGACCCGCCACGACACTTCAACGGGTTTAGAGACTTTGTAGAGGTAGTACGCAATGGCTATTGAGAGACCTGCTGAAAAAGCTATGAAAGGGGCCATGGGCATTCTTTTGGGAGGCCGGCGTGGGTCCATTTCTTCATCAACCTTTGATGGTGATGGCTTGGAATCTTGTCTAAACCATCTAGACGGTGTTTTGAATTGCCGGAAGTTACGAGAATAAAAGAGGTGTAATGGCTCAGTGTTGCTTGAAGCAGGTGTGGGAAACCATCTAGAATGTATTAGGCGGACAAAAGTTCGTCGGATTGACTGAAGAAGCATTTTGTGAGTTACCAAGGTGAGTGATCAATCAAGAGTTCACTAGAATATTGATAAGATCAGACATAAACCAACTCTAAAAGGTCCTAGGAGAATTTGCGCGTATCTAAAAGTATTACTTTGGACCAAACTCAAAACCCAGAAGCCCTAATCCTCCGCAAAATAGTGCCGAGCCCATGATTGGGTGCTTCGAATATATACATTATCGGTTGATTGACTTAAACAATTTAAGGGCCAGAATACGAATGCAGTTGCAACTTTTAGGTATTTTTTTATCATTCCAACTTTTTTTGACTATTTTTGCACAACCCAGCAACTTGAAAAAGAATGCGACTAAGCTGTTTTTGCGTAAGCAGTGCCTAATGGGGCGAATTACCCATGCCAAAGCAATACTGGGGCTATCTTAATCCGAATCCTCTACAGGACCCAGAGTGATATGGACAGTGCATCAACCACACGCAGACCCCTACCGACGACAAGCGCACCATCGCCCACCAAGAACAACCCAGGTGATTCCCGTAGTCGGCCCGAACCACTGGTCACGATAACACCCACGGAGCGCTTGAGGCCTCTAATGCGTCCCAACCCCTTGCCCCAAATTGGGATGCAGTTATAGCCATCGTCCAAGTGCAAACACGAGCCACCGCAAGGGCACTACACGCGTAGAAACCAGGCTTTGCGCAGTCGTGCCTTTTATCCACTTAAAAGGTGAACGCTACAAAAAATTAAATCTATGTTATGTACACATAATACACAAAAGCCAAATCACCTAAAATAACTGTCTCAATGCTACACTTCCACTGCAGTGCACTCCTATTCCTCCCCCACGATGCCCTCACCATCTTGAGACGACCTCTCCTCCTCACCATCTTCCTCATCTACTTCGTAGTAATGTCTCAAAGCAGCACTACGTCTGGGTCGTAACCGAGTCAATTGCTCCCCCTCTTCCACTTGCGCGCGGCACAGCCGACGTCTAGAACTGCGTCTAGGTGCCTCAAGAGTGTAGCAAGTACGCAGAGAACGTCTGTGTGTGGAACGACCCACAGAAGTGGAGGCGGAGGTACTGGAAGACGAGGAAGTAGTGCTGTGGGGGGTTCCGTGAGTACGCAATGAACGTCGAGATTTGCGACCGCGGCTAGCTCGAATTCTACCGACGCCGCCAGAGTAAACATCCACCGTTGCTGCCTCACGGTTCCTTTCAGGCATCTGTCCCACGCCGTTGGAAATATTGACTGGTTCGGGAACAGTTGCTACAGCTTTTAAATAGCAAAGAGCACACACTGATTGTTTAACATTGGAAAAAGAGCACTACTGATAGCACCGATTAGGGCATATTCAGCTACAGCATAAAATGAGAATAGGAGGACTAGATAGCGCCTTGAGCTTCGTGCACTGATAAACAACCATACTTTCAACATAAATAGCAAATTTCTGCTAAAAGCATGCTTTAACTCCGCCAGCCTAAAGGATGCGTAGGAGTCAATGTGTTAGAAATGAGGTGAAATAAAGTCAATTGAAGTTTCTGCTCATGCTGTCATGCATTAAGCGATTGAAAGACAAAAGTCTCCCAGAAGGTCATTTAAAAACGAGCTTACCATCGGTGTTTTCGCTGGAGGCGAGCATAAAACGGAAAAAAATACACAAAATAAGTACGATTTCAAAGGCGAACAGTAAAACATGCAAATATGCATATGCATGTATTGTTAGAGAACCGCAGGAAACAACTTACAGCATGTCCTGTTTTCAATCATATTGATGGTGCGTCATAACTGTCTCGGGTACAGCGTGTTCCATGTTCCACGAATGCATGAGGCCAAAATTACTTTTGAATTCATGCTACTAAGCATAATTTTAACACAGAATTCGTTGTAGAAGGTTCAAACGATCAAAGCAATCCTCAGTCTTCCACATCGCTGATAATGAGTTAGGTGGAAAAGTGAACATAAACTTAGGCGGGATTCTGTGATCGGTAATAAAAGATCTCCTGGTGAGTCTATCCCTCCCAAACACGATTTATCATGTTTAGCATGACGATGAAAAAGTACTCAAATAGTGTCAATATAGAGTCCGCCAAACTCACTGAAATCTACGTAGAGATGCTCTAGTTGAGGGCCTAAGGCTTCGTAGACGTTGGTGAACCTCGTTGTCATTGTTGCTGTCGTACTGTGCAGATTCACCAAAAGCCGGAAGGGAGTCGTCTCCTAGGTATAGGGAGAGGCGCTTCCTCGCAACCTTTTTTATCCACCGCGACAACCATCGAGTATCCGAGTATACCTGCCAATAATTATTTAGTTTTTCATTCTGAGAGGCGTTGACCGCACATTATGATGATAACGATTCTCGAACCAACCATCCAAGATCTCTAACAGCCTTATAGCAAAACAAATTAACTAATTTTTTCAATATTCAGGCCTTCTCAATGTGTCCACAATGATAATTTGATAAAAGTTGGTATCAAAAAGGAAGTCACTCATGGAGTTTAAACTGACCTTGAGTAAGGAGTGACTCTCTCCAAATGGTACTCACCGTTGAATGAAAGCCAAATTAAAGATGTGACTAATGAGCGAGACGTAAAGGCCTAGTTTCTGTCTGCATTGCGAGATGCTAAGAATGGCTCACAAAGACGGGTATGTGGTATCATAAAAATCACCGAGGTAAAAGGAAGAAATGTGTCCACAATGTAAGGGCTCAAGATCACCCCTCATTTACGAACCCATTCAAGTGGACTGCAACTGATGCTATGAAATAATAGTCAGTTTTCAATACTACTTATCCAAGTAGTTTGGCAAGCATTTTGCATGTCAAGGATGAGATGAACAGATGCGATAGATGGCTATAGCATTCTCAAGGTCCCATCCACTGTGCGAATCTCGGAAACGGTCGTAACGAATACGACGCTCAAATACAGAAAAGGATCATGCAAGGCATTTTTGCTTAGATAATGCGGAAATGTTGCGCTATACAAATTTCGCTGTCATAACCACATGGTTCCTCCATAGGGAATCATTTTAGAATCAGATACTATGATTGACTAGATGTAAGACCTTTATACATACGATTGCTGTTTCAAAGCATTGCTTCGCTTTACCTGAGTGTCAGAGTCGCGGTTGAAGAGACGAGAGTTGTTGACAATCAATTCAAGGTCTTCGAGGAATTGACGCGGCCCAGAATAGGTGTCAATGTCACCTTGGGGTGCATGCTGCAAAAGACGAGTCTGAACGGAACCCAGATCCATCGGATTTTGGATAATCTGTCTGTAGGTCTGGAAGGAAAAAACACGGTCATTAACTTGGTTACTGTATTTAAAATAGTTGAAATTACAAGGTTAAAGGCTCGCAATGTCCGTTTCCATTTGTCTTCGTTTGAAAGCAACTTTTATGAAACTGCACAATTCGTGATATTAGCGTCAAATCCCAAGAGACTCGAAGCATCACCAAATGACTTGGCCGATGAACGCAAAGCATACCATAACATGTAATGAATGGGCAATTTTGGCACAATTACCGATTTGTGCATAAAAATGAGTTCTAAAATTATACAGTAAGGAGAATCAAAGAGCTGATAGAGTCAGCTGAGATCTGTGAGTAGAGACATCAAGGTAGTGCTCGACTGCATATCGTTTGAACAGAAAACGCTGCTTAAATACCCGATGGACTAATGCCATGTGTTTTAGGCATTAAACTATGAAAGCTACCCCATCCAGCACAAAGAGGCGCAAAAAACGTTTTCTAAGTGAAATATAGAACAACAAACATCCTTCTTCGGGCCGCAAAATTGTTTTCAATGATTTGAATGCGTCAGCTTTAGATAGCTGCATTGCCTGTTTCTCAGTGTAGTAATAACAATATGACAAAACGTGAATACCACTTTTATAATCAAATCTTACATTCATAAGTCGACTTACCGCATACTGGTTAATATTGACAGGTTCACGGAAGAAAAAACTGCGTCGATCACGTTTCACCTCTCGCAGGAGTTGACGGCATACCTTTCGCCAGTCAAGTGCATCACCTGCCTCCGTCTCAGTTGAATGCAACGGCAGCGGTGGTGGTGGTGGAGGGTGGGCGGTGAGAGTCCGTAGGGGATAACGTGATCCCCCAGTTCCGTTAAGAGCAGTTCGCTTTGATGCTGGAGCAAGGTGTGTCGAGTTCTCTGATGATCGAGAACGTTTCGTAGTTACAGCAGGCGGGGAGTCAGGGGAGGACGTAGAGGGTAGAACAACTGGAGCGTCTTCAATTGATGCCTCCTGTTCTTCCTCTACCCCTTCTTCCTCGCCTTCTCCTTCTTCGTCATCTTCCGCCTCATGCACTGCAGGTAGTGTGGAAGACGAGGAATTCTGTGGCACCTCGAATGCAGGATCAAGTTGGGGATCCACGGCCACTGCTGATATGTAGTTGTCCATCAATTTGTCCTACGCATAATGCAGCCGACAAATTACTGAACTTGTGATAATCAATTTAATTACCTTGAAAGCTATGTATATGTTTGACGCAAATAAAAACAAACATAGATAGGCAATATCACATCAAGTAGTCAAAATGTTAAATCCTTATTAATAATGATATTTCATGCCGCTGTTGAAAATCCCGCATAGAATTCTGTTGTAAAGGCAAAAACTTGAGCCGAAAACACGAAATTCTTACAAATCTGCAGGTGAAAGTTAAAGTCACTTGTGGCTAGATAGCAGTAGCGAACGTACGAACAGGTATAAGCGTTTTTTTATAGAAAAAGTGGGTATAAAATACAAAAGTGTCGAAATGAATACAATGCTTCCATGATGAGGCAACCTAGTCCGAACAAGGAGTCGGAGTACTCAAACACTGAGTTACCATCCCAGTGAAAATTACATCAGATTGGTGCTGGGAAAGACTCGACAACAAAGGCAAAATGCGATTCAGCGACGAACCAGATTGAAACTCGCGTCGGAGATGGCCTTGAGAGCTAGAGAAGTAACCAGCTGTGCCTGGCGCACAATGAGGCTCGTCGGTTCGTTGTAGCGAAGGGCATTCTTAAAAATCTGCTCTAAGTCGAAGCGAATAGCTTCCGATTGCCTAGTAAAAGATGGGAGGGGAAAAGTGGGTGCGAAATTGACAAAGAAGACACTAGCGTAGCATAAAGAGTGCAGAAAAAGCCCTCCTACCTGTAGAAGAGGTTTTCTAGGCGATTGCGTATAAAGAGAAGGTCTACCAAATTTGGATTGACTACGATGTAGTTCGGAAATGCTGCCAGATCCACGGGACTGTTAAATGCTACGGCAGCATTTAGTGTCATCAGCTGAAATAAGCAAGAAGAGGAAATATGCACCTAGGTAACCATCTCAGGAGTTTAAAACGTCGTGGCCCGGTGCTCCGACCAACCTTGTCGAGGACAGCTTTGATACGTTCGATGACCTCACCAAATGTGGTGTTAGTGTGGTTAAAAGATGTAGAAGGTTCCAAAGAGGACACAGACATAGGTTGGGAGCCCCGAGAACCAAAAAGTCGCGTCAATCGATCCACTGGAATCCTAATCTCTCCGCTGTGCATGAAGACTGAAGAAAAGGTCGTTGTTGGATCATCTGGAAGATAAAAACAATGAGGGAAAAGTAAATTTACATACATGGTATTACAAAGACGAGATGTACCGGAAATGGGAAGCCTGCTGACCCAGGGATGCATATCCCAAGGGCTGAGGCAGTCCGAGAAAGTGATGACAACATCACCGTCAAAACCGCCTTCCAGAGACTCCACACCCGGACAATCAGAGAGACTCGGTGGTAGAAGAGGTTCATGAGCAGCTCCTGTTTCGTGATTTTCCAACCAACGGACTCGAACTCCCAACCAAGGATCGCTTGGAGACAAAGAAAGTGTGGACGAGGAAGTACTGGGGTTGAAGACGGAAAAGTCGCGGAGAACGCGTCCACGCCACCAAACATTCTCCACGGGACAAATGAAGACGTCACCTAGTGGGAAACGGAAACCACTTGAATTGTTATCGGAACTTTACATTTTACTCCATACAGTGGTCACGTCAGGTACGCATACTAAAAAACAGTCAACTGAACCCTCTGCGTTAACGGTTTACGCTCTTACCAGAGCACTTACTTGTCTTCAAAATACTTCCTCACTGTCAAACTCGCGTATGACTGACTCCACTAAGATTAAATCTACCGTTAGCTTTAAGCTGAAACCACTCGACTCTAAGGACGGACTAATTAACTGTTTCATTTGTTTGAATTTTCAAGCATGAGAGTCTTCTAACCCCCATGGGGCAACTCCAGTGACGAACATATTCAATCTTTAACTTTGAATGAAACGACAATACACTCAGCCAATCAATTTTGCATTAGGTCCGACCTATAGTAGGATGCAGTGGATCATGTGGTGAGAGAACCAGAATCAATCCCAAAAGGGGACACAATTATTCATATTACTTTTGGCAAAGGAGTAAGATCTACCACCTCACATTGTGTAGAAATGAGGCGATAAGTCAGATAAAAAGGGAAGCACAAAAATGACAAAGCCGTGCCACATTGCAACCATTTGACCAATATTCCATCCTTGGAGTCCATTCTGAAGTCGTTATAATAAAACTTTCAAAATTGCCCAAGAGGCTACTCAAGAACAACAAATAAGCAGTGAAAGGCGAGGATACCCCAGCCATACTCTCTACACGCCTATTCTAAAACTAATGAATGTATTCAAAGTCAACAAAGACGCGTAACAAACCAGCGTTCCAAGAGCGATTGATAGCTTCATCAAAGACACTGCGAAGGACAAGGAAGTCAAGCACCCCATCAACATCATGGTAACGGATGAATATTTCCTTAGGCAGGGGTGATAGAGACCTGACTTCGGAGTCAGTAAGGGAAGAGTAGGGCTGCTGCCTCTCCACAACGAGGCGGAGGGATACGAGACGCACAAAGCTGTCAACAGCGTCTGTGGTATCGGTAACGGGGTCTATTGGTGCAGGAGAAGCTCGAACCAGGGATTGCGTGAAACGACCGGTAGAGGTGGTGTTGGCAGAGGTGGCATTGCGGTGACGAAGAGAAGAGGAAGTGAAAGCGGTGGAATGGGGCCTCCGATTGCTGAGTGCGTTGGTAGTTCGCATAAAATGTACTGCCATTTCGGAGACGTGGCAGCACAGATAGCCCTGTGAAGTGATTGAAATAGAATCAACTGGGTAGTTAGATTTTGACAGAAGAACATTTAATTCACCACTACACTGGCCTTTTAAGCCCTCCACGATTTGGTTCCTACGATAATGACAAGGGGCTTTCTTTTCTGTATACTTAAGTGAATGCATTCAGATCCCAATCTCATAACTTCTTCAAAATAGCTCGGGTGCCACAAAACTGCGAAGAGATCGGTGACTTTGTACATTTTCAAGCGGCTACTGAAGGAAAAAAATCTTAAGTGCTCAAGTAGAAAAATTTGTTTTCGTCTGATTTATGGGAGTGAGTTTCGGACTGAATGATGATTAGAGTAAACGATGAGGATTACGTTTCACTGTACGGGCACTGTTCACTTCGAGGTTGAGATAAAACGTGTCACAGTAAACTTAAACGCTTCTGATAGAACATAACACAGAAACCGAGTGAAGAATGGCAAACCTCAACTTACCGGAAGTGACTGAAGTCAATTATTTCAAAGATCCTTCGAACACATCGACATTCACCAAGAATAGAAGTTAATTACAACATAAAAATTAAACTAATTACCAATAAGAGAGGAGAAATACACTGCGGCTAAAAAACTGAAGTAGACATCAAATTACTTACAGGCAATGTGGAATTCTGTTCCCAAGGTAGTGGAAGCCGCTCTGCTTCCAGACAACCACCATCAGAGTTGATGACATCGATGGCCGGAACCGATCCTTCATGCCAGGCCCGACTCAAGTACTCCTTATGTCCACGCATCACGTAGACCAATCGATCACCCAGTTGAGGCACATAAGGGGACGCAGAGGGCTTTGTGGCGGAGAGCCAATCCAAATGCGGTCCCAACCATGAGACAGGTTCAGAGTCCAGAGGTCCGGGTGTCACGCCTCCTGTAGGATTGGAGACGCCGGGAAAGCCGTTTGGTGGTGGTTCAAGAAGAGGCAAATCCACATGATGCTGACAAAATTAGGACATCATTAAAGAACTTGGTGGATTTAATGACTGACAATTCTGTCCAAAACAAGTTAGAAAAGTTATATATTAAGCGGGTCGTAAACAGATTAAGACAACTGTCTTCAATTAAAGCCGACCAAAATAGTATTTCGAAGTACACGCTGGTTAAGAACTGCTTACAGTAAGTGAACTTTGAAACACTGTCTACCACTCCTTACAATCGCTAGAACCAGGTCTTCAATTCTTGTCACAACCTGTGGAAACATCCGACTAAACTCAACAAACAGTAGAAAACTCCTCTGTAATTTTTCGCTGCATGTTCACGTGCGTCCCGGTTAATCAGAGTCGAGAGACATAACTACTTGGACAATTTGGGAAATCGTACTGTTTCTCATTTGACATGCAACTGAAAAGTGATGCAAAATCGGGCCTTTAAACATGGTGAAATAACATGGCAGAGTACGTAAAAAGTTTCAAGCATTCATTCGTTTAATTTTTTTTAGGTTTTTTGATTTCGCATTATGAACTGCACACTGCGGCAGGCGCAGCCGGATTATTGACACGCCAAAAGTCACATTCCGTGTTGAAACGCTGATTACTCACGTTGACTGATACGACGGCTGTAAGGACAAGCTGAATATGGTACCAAATAACATCGGTGGAGCAGATAAAGTCGAAGAGATTTCCAGGTCAGGTCTCTATAAATAATTGACAATTTTGAAAACCTTTGAAAATCCCCTTTCCCCAGGCTCTTCTGCTCGAAGAGTTAAAATGCCAACTTCGAACCGTCTTGAAGTCCACATACTTTAACCCGATATTTGCGTAACTCGTAAGCAGGAAAACAATCCAGAAAAGGCATAATTTCAACTTCACATAGATTTCCAAATCTGTGTCCATTAGGCGCTAAAATAGTTCATGTTTGCAGATTTTAATGTTTGAGAGAAGAATCGACCACCACATCCCACAAAAGAAATACTCCTCTTAAAGTTACACCAATCAAGAACGAAAAAATGCACTTAATCTTGGACCATGAACATCTCGCATGTGTTATACTGTTTTGGATCCAGCCATGTTTGTAGGACGACCTGGTGCAAAAAGCTACAATAAATCTACAAAATAACGAATGGGATATCGGTAATGGAAATCTTAAGCACCCATGCAAAGGAACAAAACTTTTGATACTCATCTTCAAATATCCATAGTTTTTAGCCTTGATGTGAGCAAGTTATTACTATTTAAAAAACAATCGGTTTACTGGTTGAGACCCTTCAACTCATCAAGTTAGCAGAAAGCAAGGATCGAAGATGATCTAGTATTCAAAAAAAGACTAAGGCGCAAGTATCACGGAAACACCCGAGTGCACTTGGTGAATTTGACAAAAAAATGATAAAAACCAATCTTCGGCGCATGTATTGGGGCACCCACCGAATTGATAAAATCGATACTGCGAATGATTTGCTGCTTGGTTCGCTCCTTAGGGTTAGCGGGGATGGCGTCTGCCACCTCAACTACTTCATCGTTCATCTCGAGGTCCTCCAGACTGTTTAGAGCCACAGGCTCTGTCACGTCTCTCGGCATTGTAGCACTCCTTCGTAGCATGGTTACCGTCTCGGGAAGGCCACGCTGCCGTCGAAATCGTCGTAGGCGTTCGGAGCGCCGAGCACGCCGCAGTGTACGCACCGCCTCCAGCTGGGTGGCCAGAGAGAGTTGATTCTGACGCTCACGCCGCAGCCTCTGGCGCTGTCGGGCCGAGCGGCGAATTACGGAGTCGTCGAGGCTGCCGTTCAGCAGTGGACTTGCCAGTTCTACATCACTGCGGTGACGACTTGTAGACGGCGGCTTAAGAGTTTAAAAAACTTCGCTAAATATTTAACAGTTACTCAGGAAATCAAAACGATTATTCGATTTGTAGTTGCGCTTCATTTAATTCTGTTCCTGTCTGAAAACGCTTACAAGATAACACAATCATTTCTAATCAACTATGGTCGTTAAAATAATACAAATGATAGCAGGGAAGCATAAACCAGCACACTTATTTAGCAAAACATTTCCGCCTTCCTTCTTCAGATATGCTGTCTACTGCTCTGCCAGTCCAAAGATCTCATTAACGACGTCAGTACGTCTGAATACTAGTGGTACAGTTTTCACCAGCATGCAGTAGCAAGTTTATGGCATGAGCACGCGACTACTCACGACTGATTCAACATTAACAAAGTAACTATCGATGGCGTGTTTGAAGTAAATATAGATCAAGGTTGGATTGAGATCTGTGAATGTGCAGTGAATTTCAACATTGCTTGACTAGCAGAATTGAGGCTATGCAAAAAATAGCTGTTAAATACCTTCAAATCTTATTTCAGTTGATCCTCAGTTTCATAAAGATCTTTAAGAAATTTGTCCATCCGTTTAGAAAAAATAATGATTTTAGTGCAAGCATAGTTTTAACATCCCATTCCAAAAGAAGGAATCGACGAATAATTTGCGAATTAAAAATGCTTTCAATATAGTACTTGTGATCTCTACATTGACATTGGCATGCTGACCATAAGTTATAAGTTATACGCGCTATTTCAAAACACGAATGGATAATAAGGATATTTAGAGTCATCCTGGTATTGCGAACGCATGGAGGGGAGTTAGTTGCCTTTCGGCAGTACAGTATAGGATGTAGATACCTGTTCCGCAGCCTCGAGGTGCCAGCGTCGCGTTCTTGATCGAGTTGTCGGGGGACGATTGCGACGAGTTCGGCTGGAGCCCCAGCCGGCCTCCGCGTCCCTGTGCGCTGACCAATCTGAATCGTTCTCTGAGTCGTCCGCCACCTCGCCACCATCCATGTCCAAAAGAGAGTCACCGGGTAACCGAAAGACCCCACCTTCGTCCCCATCTCCACCTCCCACCTCGCCCACCAAAACCACTAACGACGACGATTGTGTCTCGTCTAGAGCTGCCGCCGACCGAATGGCATTCTCGACGGGAGCAGTCGTTGCGCCATCTACATCCTTATTGGTGAGGCTGGGTATTGAGTGGGTGAGAGTTTGCAATCCCTCACGAGAGGCCTTCTTTTCACTCTCTTGTCGAATTAAAAACTTATCAAGTTCCAATCTGGAAGAAGAATGTATTAAACTCAACTACTTGTTTGAAAAGAAAAAGAGGGTGCCATTCAGAAAACTCACTTTACATCATTTTTAGAGAGAGGACAAATAAGATCATCTTTACCCGAGAGCCAGTGACAACACCAGAGGTAAGTCTTGGTGTAGTCTCGTGGTGTTGACGACGGAAGGGGTGCGGGGCAGCAGTAGGTGGATGGAACGTTATTAGCGAACTGGATATCGTCCACAACTACCTCCTCACCGTCTGGGTAAGATTGAAAATAAAAGGGCAATAACCTAATATTATTTATTTTCTCGATTTAAAATGTAAAAACCCTACTTCGTCATTCTACCTGGTCACCAAGTAGGGAACGCCCAACTTCATCAACCGTCAATCCTGAAAGTCAATACCTCAAGCATTCCATCTTGGTTTTTTTGGCTGCCCAGAAGATGCATCGCTATTTCAACACCAGCCTTCGAATCCACGCCCAAAGATAAAGTGGGTTTCATTAAACATATTTATCAGACAGCGCTTGTCGTTTTAAGGCATTAGACCATAATAAGTTTTGGAACACCCGACTTTTATAGTTTAAACACGGCGATTTCCTACCGTACGGCTATCTGTGTAGAGCATAACGAAACATTCTTGAAATTGAAATGAATGAAAAAAGCACCTTCTACTGAAAGTTTATTGCGCCCTCTCCCGCTAGTTGTCAGATACTGTTAAGTACCGCTGAGCGAACAAAGTGCACTGTGATAGAGGAACAATAAGGCAAACTTCTGATTTGAAATTGGGCAATTCCCACTTAAGGAAGTGGACTGCAAAAAGGTGCATAAAAGCCCACCATCGTCCACCATGGTAGTTGGTCTAGCGTCGATTGGCCTGAAAGCGTATCTGCCAGGCACCTGAGCAATCTGTCTGTCCGGGGAGTAGGGGTAGCCCCTCAGAGTGGTCAGGTAGGCCGGTGGTAGTCGAGAGAAAGGCACGCCACTGGGCTCGTGGACAAGTTGGAAAAGTACACAGGGCGGTGGTTGAAATATCCCAGTGATACTGTAGTCGTTGCTGTTACTATATGACGAATACGCGTCCTGTTGCTGAGGCTGCTGGTGCTGCTGAGGCTGTTGAACTTGTGAGGTGGAGCCTGCGTTGAATGACTGACTGGAAGCTGGAGAACCCAGAGCCAACGCTACGGTGTTCGATGGCTGGGACACCTCCCGCAACGCCGCGTTATCCATCTCCCAGTGCAGAAACTGTTCCTCATAGGGTGGTGGCTTCAGAGTAAGAGGGCGAAAATGTTAATTTGCCAAGCATCGCAGTCCTTACATCCACGTCTTACGAGTAATAATAATGATTATGCTAGTGATTGAATACATTTTTTAGACATAAGCCTATGATGCACTGCATGTACGGTGGGCTAGATTACCTCCGAGACTTCGAAACCATGTGATAAACACTACCCACTGGTCTCAAAGTTAAACGGCTGGAACCAAATAGTGAAGTCCGAACATATAATTTTAACAGTCAATCTGAGAGTTATTTGCTTCGAATAATTGACGATCTACGCAAATGAAACATAAATGTAGCTACACGAAATCCATCCGAATCAACAGCATCTAGTGAAGGAGAACTAACGCAATCCCAAGGATTTAACACCTATTTTATGCAATGAATGGATGAAAATCTACGCCGACGGATCATGCTAGGCGAAATGCAAAAGGAAGAGATCATCACCTCAGCACCGGATAGCCGTTTCACGGATTCTATTTCTTGACTCGGAGCAAACAATGAGATGACACCAGCCTTCGTGGCCACCAGAAAGCCCGGCCCGTTGGCAGTCGGCATGGCGACGCAACAGGTGATGCGTTGACTCTGTAGTCCACCCTCTCCACGAATCCGACGCCGTTCTTCATCATCCTCCACTGCCACTGTCGCCGAACCTTGGAGCGAATCCGACGTTGCCGTCCCCGTTGCTCCAGCCAACGGGACCTCAAGTTCCGTGGATTGCAACCAGGTGATGCCCAGGTCGGTAGTTGGCTGAGGTGCAGGAAAGCGATAAAAAAAGAGAATGGAAGGTATGACAGCCGCAGATGTGCCGAAGCGCCAGATGTAGAAGCGGCCGTCGGCACCACCGGTTGCTAAAATCTCCTCGCAGAGTGGTGAAGTGGCAACCGCGTAAACTGCGCCTTCGTGACCCTGCACAAGTGATGGAGAATGGACTACTACGATCAATGTTTGGAATCTCCTACTTTGCGATGGTGGAGAGGGAGGGCGACAGAAGCTAACAATAAATAGCTCTACCGACTCAAAATTAAATAACCAATTTTGAAAAATGATGCATAAAACTAAGAAGCAGCAATGAATCTGGCCAAACAACTAATTTATTTTCAAAATATTTGTCTGTTTAGGAGAAATAGTTTGACTTATTCTCTAGAAACCTATTTAAGTCATTTGCTTATTCTTTTCTTTTTCACAACCAACAATTATTTTTTAAAAACGAGCCAATTACAAGGCCACGAGACTACCTGATCCACACGCATTCGAGGCTACTATCATAGAATCTCAACAAGGGTATCAGTTCTTGGCCGATGGAACTACAAAATGACATACTCACCGTGAGAATAGCAACTCTTTCACCATTCCTTCCACTGAAGACGTTCACAGCTCCACTCTTGAGGCAGACAGCGAGATAAGTATCTTTGCAGCTCCAGCGCAGAACACAAGGACGACTCTTTGGCCTGTGAGGATAAAATTGAGGAAGCGTAAAGGAGTTAATTTGCATGTGTGCGTGTACAGTACGCATGCTTACCGTTTGCGAAGCTTTAGTTCTAATCCTGTCCAAAGACCGGCCCGAAGATTCCAGAGCCAACAGCTACCTCCGTCGGCGGACCCAGTGGCTAGTTGCACTCCAGAATTGCTGAAGGCTACGCTATTCACATCATCCTACGAAATCAAAAAGGGAAATTTATTATGAATCAGATCTGGTGGCGAACGGAAGATTGGAGCACATCGCCAGAAAGGAGGCAGAGTAATTAACTAGTTGTTACGACGTGCGTAGAACGGATGGACTAGAACCTCAGAGAAGCAAGGAATTTGCTATGATAGAGGGGCATCACTAGGCGTTTCGACAGGCTATTGCGCATTATCATCTAGCACTAAGACACTATTATTTAAGTCCATCTGCTTGATGGCGATACCACCGAAATGTATCAACCCATCTTCGAAACCAAAATAAAATCATAATTTTTATTGTTCTACCAGAGATAGTGAAAACTAATGGGTAATATGTGCAAAACGAGAATAAAATTCTCCAGCTTAGACAATTATACGATTTACAAATAGAGAAACCAACTTTAGGTCAAAGTAGTGGACGAATGGAGAGTAAGACACATTAGCATACCATTGATAGTGATAAAACAATGAAAATGTCAATTATTTGAAACAAACTGGGCTGGTTTTCTCGCAAACTAGTAAAATGAACTTGAAGTGAGTAGGAAAAATAGACGATCAGAGGAAATTACGTACTGTGATGATCCGTAAGATAAACGAGGAAGAATATGCTGATGAAGACGTACTAAATTTGCCTATTCACTAAACTAAGGGTGTTCCAATGTCTAATACCCGGTAAACAATCAACACATGAACCGCAATAAGTATACATTTGCAGGGGATTTATTAATAAAACCAAAATCCTACTAGGCAACAACTAAAAATGAGATGGACAATTAAAATGATAGTAACGTTTAAATCCCCATGGATAAAGAACAACGTCGAGATAAAATAAAGGCAATCAGGCACACACCTCATGAGCAGATAACCGACCAGCTGAAATGGGGCATCCACCTTCAGAAAAGGTGAACATGCGGACACTGTGATCAGTACAGCCCACCGCCACGTGATGACCGCCTAGAAGGGAAATTATCCAAGCCGGGTGAGTTAGTGGATACCCGAGAGATACGTGAGAAGTAATTCGCAGCAGCGACTTCAACTCACCTGGACTAACATCCAGAACGACAGCACTAGTGTTGTTGGAGAAACCGGTATCCGACTCACGGGTGTTGAAGGTGGTAGTGGGGTGGAGACGGATGCTACAACAGCACTCCACAAACCCATCCACTCCAAGGCCTATTTCATTTTCGCTAACCACAAGGGTGTGTGTGTAGCGAATGAAATGCAGCCCACAGCCATACGAAGATACCAAAAGCCACCCATCTTTCTCATCTACAAAGGAAAGTTTGGGCTGTAAATTCGAAGACTTGCGAGAGAAAGGTAACAAGAAATTAGAAACCCACTTGGGAATTCAGATGGTTGAGGAATAGGTATGAAGCTCAAACCCGAAATGACTCTGTTGCGACGAGAACCGCGGAACGAAACGAGAGGCTGACCGGTGCGCAGGCACCAGATAACCAAAGTACAATCTGCATCTACGGAAACCATCAGATGGTTGTCAATAGATACGTCAACCTCAATTATTTCCGCTAAATGGCCTCGAAGCGTATGACGTAGAAGTGGGACGGAGAGACTAGGCTGAGATGATCGCAGAGACCATATTTTAATGGTGTAGTCATCGGATGCCTAAAAGAACCAAAAAGGAGCGGTACCGTACAAGCTATGGCTCTCGCTGCCTCACGGTAAACAAATAACAAAAAATTACACATAAGTTAGAAGATCCAGAATAAATTGCCCAAAGAATTTAAAAGCCTGACCTATATAAAGTTGGAAAAATAACAAAATTGTACCGATATAAGATAATCGGAGCGGCAATCGTATTTGAGACAATAGATGGCAGAACGATGAGCCAAAACATGCTGCTGAAGCACAATTTTCCTGTGGATATCCTGTATTATCAGCGACAAAAAGTCAGTAGGCTTTGGAACTGATCGGTAATTCCAGATACCACACGAATGTCCAGTCATTGCAAAAAAAGATGAGAAATCTTGATCACGCGAAGGTTTGTTTACTCCTTAAAGGTTAATTTATTCAACGCAATCCATACGATGAGATTTTATAAGAGCTAAGAGAGAGGACAGTGAACGAAGACAGCCCGATTTGTTGGTCGATGCAAAGTCAAAGTAAGCATTACAAATATGGCTGAGACAATATGGTTCAATGTCATTGTAAGTGAGATCCTAAAGGGTTTAAAGCAAAAAAAAATAGTTACAAATTCTTCAAAGGTTTTGGCATCAAGTCTATCGACTTGGTTTCCTTCAAGCCCAGCCTACAAATTAACCCTCATCAAAGCAACCTACGTATTGGCTGTTCAAAAAGCATTTAACAGTCTACAAAAGTGTTGAAACGAAGGGCATATACCTCGGAACCATCTTCACATCCTAATGCATCGAGGTACCTTGCTATGAGATAGAGAATTTCTATAAAATAAAAAAAGCCGTATACGGTACAAACCCCAATTATTCATTGGCATGTGTTACGTCAGTCACCGATAGTCTCAGTTCATAGGAGCAACAATGCGTGCTTTATTGGTGCAGGCTTCGGGACATGCTCAGGAACCAGCACAACCTAGACAGAATAACAAAATAAAATAGAAGTGATTACTATTTACGCGTCAAAAGACACTAGTTAAAGCAAGGCTGTGTTATGATTGGTTTAAGATAAAAGGGGTCATCTTTATAAAAGTCGCCACTTTAGAGCTTAAATTAACACGGCAACAGTTACTACGCCTGGCTAAATTTACGTATTAGCTTGCTAAATTTTTAACAATTTTATTAGTTTTTGAACTTAATGCGTAAAAATATGATTTAAATTCTCTTGTCACATTTTTGTTATTTAAAGATAGTAAGCTTTTGCATATATGGATAATTCTTATCCTAAACAAAGAATTGCTAAACATACATTAAAAAATTTGTTTTGTAGCGTCAACTACACAAACGTTTATAATGACACCCTTTTAAATGACTTTATTCGAAATACATCTAGCCTTAATCTTCCCCTTATTATGTACAAGCGAATGCTTTGGGGAACAATATATGCTGCTTGCACAAAAAAAGAACAAAGCTCTAATGGTTTAAAAATCTTATCAAAGACAATAAGCTTAGCCGACGACAATTTGAACCCTGACGTATATTAGCATGCGCTTAGGCAAAACATCGGATATTTCGCATTCTATCTTCCGTTAGGCACAGTTTTTTGCGTTACCCTTGTCAACCTTCAGCGTTAGCCCCTGAAGCACAATCGGTGTTATAAGTCTATTCTTGGGGCTTACCAAATTGAATTTGATTTTAGCGTTACTGATCCAAATCCGTAATTTTGCTTTACGTGCAAGCGGTAGTGCATACTTTAAGTAACTTTGTGCTGCTCGAATCGCGTTCTTTAAAGAGAAAACAACCCGTGCCATTTGCTAGTGGTGGGTCCGATGGCAAAAAGCAGTTAGCTAACGAAAGTTAGGATTTTGGGTATAAAATTGGAAAAGTATAATAATTTTTGTGTCATCATTTCATTGCTACCCAACGATATCTGTATGGATTTTATCCAGCAAGTATTAAGGCTGGGTTTTTTGCGTGTCAACCTAGTAAACATCTTTATATAGATGTAATACGATAGTGGTTTACCCCTCGGTTCTGGTGAGGCACCACTTTTGTACTTTGAATTATCCCCCTTGTACTCCGCTGGGTGGGCTGGCCTTTTGGGCCATGCCAATAGCTCAGACACCTTCTCCGTGCTAAATATATATATATATATTCTGCGCGAGTATTGCGTCTTCTTTCGTCTTCAGGGAGTCTCGGGACTCTATATAGATAACAATGGCTGCTTCATAAATCACTTTTATGAATATTTTACACCTGGTGCAGCAAGAGTTTGTAGCTGTCACATCCACAGAGTACGAGATTTGTGTTAGTGTCTAAGGACAAAAGTCTTTTTAACCCATCTCTTAGGAGCTTGCACATCAACATCTTAGTAAAATTTAGCATACAGGCATGAAAATTAGAATTAATGCATTTCATATGCTGTTTGTTTACTGATATCAAAAATACGGATTGCTAATTCCTTACTGTAGGACGATGCTCGTGAGTCTCCTCTTCTCTGTTCCTCGTACCCTTTGAAAACCCAGGTTGCCTTGATTTTGACATGTTTATTAAGGCAAGTAGATGTGGGAAACTGCTACAGAGTTAAGGGTGTGTGGACACGTAACTGCTTCCCGGCTTGCAGGACGCTGACTCTTCTGTCACCTTCGATTCGTACCCCCGTCTCCTCTCTTAAAGGAACATTAAAACAACATGAGTGTTACATTTACCCAAGTAAGAGAAATTTAAATTACTGTAATAGACTCCTAAATAGGCTAAAAGACTACCAGTATGACCAGAGGACCATGTTCTAGAGAGAAAAACACCCCGTAAACGGTCAAACACGGGGTTTAACAGGCATGTATAGGCATATACAAGGTTTGTGGCTTCATTTACCTTCCGAAAAGAAGTACAGCAAGCAAGAAAATCAGCAGTCATAAGCAAATTTGCTAACTTTGATCACGTTTGAGTTTTAACTCTTGGGTTTTGTTCAATTTTGGAAACCGCCCTTAAATGCTACCTTCAACGTTCACATGTGGTTGGATACAGTTGACATTTGCAAGGAACTAACTGAATAATTATGTGTACCCCGTCAGGCTATATTTTCTGAGCCTCATGTAATTAACATATTTGTGTAGCAATGTCTCATTTGTTCGTTTACGCCAAATTTTATCAGCAATTGCATGGCACCCCGGCTGGTTCGATTCCATCTATTCCCGCTGCTCGCGGTCTTCATCAGTGCGGGGGTTTATGGCTTCCGGAACAGTTTGTCTTTTTGATATCGATGGAACTCTTACGAAACCGCGGCAGGAAAGTTCCTCATGTTGATTTTTACAACTAAGGGATAACTTTAATGAAGTTATTGCCTCTTTGTATCTGGTTAATAAGCTCAGAATGTAGTTTATTTATGTCATATGGGCCCCACTTCATTCTTCTTCACAATTTCGGTTGACAAAACCGTTTATTTAGCCAACGACCCCGGATCCTGCCCCCTAGATTTTTTAATTATCTTCCATGCAATTCAACTTTAATGGATTTGAGCACGGGAATATCGTTGCTCTATTCGTTCTCCCGTACAGTCACAATTTTTTTCCTTCAGACTACTTAATGCGGATTTTCTGTTGCTTAGGACTTTGTGTTAGGCCCTGTTTTTTAAATCCTACATGTTTTTAGCATTATTGTGCCAATGTGTTTTGGGGTGGAAGTGTGACTAATTAACTGGGTTCTCAAATCAATTTCACTTAATTGGTTTTCTAGATTCTGGCTTCGCCCACTTTGTGCTATCGAATGGGTCATTAAGATTTTGCGAATTCAATCCTGTTGTCTTTAGGTTATAACTCCGGAAATGTACGAATTTCTCTGTGAATTAGACAAGAAGGTGACAGTTGGCCTTGTGGGCGGTTCTGACCTGTGCAAGATTAGGGAACAGATGGGTGGCTCCGCAGCACTGCACAGGTTCAAACATGTCTTCACCGAAAATGGCCTTGTCGCCTATCGATATGATCAACTCATCTGTTCAAAGGTTTGGTTTTTTGGCTGCTAAGTTTTTGCTCTCTCTTTCGAAAATTGTCACCTTTGCCTTTTGTCCATCTTCCATTCCATTTCTGAATTCTTTCAGCACGTCATTTTCCACCCAAGCTTTGGTTGCATTCGAGGCTTGTTGGATTAGTGTGTTACCGTGTATTTAATGCCTGAAGTTGAACTTAGGTCCCTACATGCTTTGTCTGGCAGAAATGATTGCATGCATGACCTCTCAAAGTGTGTCGAGTATTAGGTTTTACTTAGTCTAAGGCGACATTGAAAGCTGGCACCTTGAGGGTAAAATAGAACTGCTTCGGAAAATATTTTATTCAGTATGATCTTTCATGAATATCTAGGACATTGCGTCACATGTGGGCGAAGAGTTGTTGCAAAGACTGATAAACTTTATTCTGCGACGCCTCTCAGAGATCACGCTACCGGTTAAGCGAGGTACCTTCGTAGAATTCCGCAAAGGCATGCTCAACGTTAGCCCTATCGGACGAAGCTGCTCTCAAGCGGAGCGGGACGCCTTCTACACCTACGACAAAGTAAGTCGCCCACTTGCCCTCCGCCCAAACCCTTGAACCTATTTAGCGTGTTGGGGTTGTTTGGCATGATTTTCACGTCTGGCGCTTGTAGCTAAGATCTTAACTGCTTGGAATGTTTTTTTTATTAAGCCTCAAATCAAAGCGGGTATGTAAAACCTTTTGATGTTCCATTTATTCCTTCACTATCAATAATTTAGTGCTATCCCTACTTCGTTATGGTTGGCTCCTCTTGTTCTTGTAAAAATGATTTCTGTCAGTTTTATTGGTGTTCATTTATCTATCAGGTTGTTCGCATTATCAGCTCTCTCAATCCGTTCGGTGAAACTCGGAAAAATGAGTGTTATTACCTTTAGTAGGTAGGGTTACAGAATAACCATAAGAAGCCAATAGAATGCGTGTAGTAGATAAGTTTTTCTGGTCTTAAATTCCATTCTGGTGAAGCTTAGAAGACGCGTAGGTATGACTGACTTTCAGGGTTTCTTTACTGTTCCTTACAAAAGCGTTATACTTTCAGCCGAAATCCTCATTCCTAACAAAGCATTTTCTCGAAGTGTTGTTTGTTTCGTTTCTGAAACCCTGTTGAGTTTTTGTTAGCTTTCGTCGATATGATTAACCGAAATGCTAACTTTGATCTTGGCTGATATCTAGCTTTAATCCCGCTGGAGGTGTTCTCATCAGATCGTTCTTTTCATCAAATGCTTTTTTCGGTGTAAATTCAAGTAACAACTTTTCCTATGGGTTGAATTTATTCAATTTTAAAGTGGTGCAACATCCGTTGACATTTATCACCCGTTAAGTTTCTTTGTTTTGATTAATTAGGAGATTTCAGTCTGGATTCATTCTTTAGTTTTTCTTAAAGGCCAATACAATCTAACAGCGGAGACCCATTCAATGCCAAGCCTATCATTATCTCTCATCCTATCCTATTTCGTTAGGAACACAAAATTCGGGAAACCCTGGTTGAAGTGCTTCGCAAGGAGTTTGGCGACTGTGATTTGCAGTTCTCCATCGGCGGGCAAATCAGCATTGACATTTTTCCGACAGGGTGGAACAAATGCTTCTGTCTCCGATTCCTCGAAGATTACGACACCATCCACTTTTTTGGTGATAAAACAATGAAGGTAGGCCGTCAATCTGCTTATTCTGACCTCCCTGTGGATGTGTTGAACAAATAATTGTCACTTCTGTTTAATGGAGCGACCCGTTGAACCTTTCGATTCAATCGCTTTGCGTGATATTGCTGGCATTCTGGAATGATATTAGGTCGCAATGGTCCGCTGTTCGTTAGTGTCAGCCGTTCTCCTGTCCTTGGAATAGTGCATTGACGATATATCATGTCATGTAGCATATTCATTACTATTTGCACTTAATCTTTTCTTTAGGGTGGAAACGATTTCGAAATATTTTCTCACCCAAGAACTATCGGTCATAGTGTTGTGGGTCCGGAGGATACGAAGAAGCAGCTACAAGATTTATTTTTCTCATGATTTTTCTCAATTGTTCTTCCCCCTTTTTATTTATGAAAATTGACTTTCGCAAATTGGTATATTTAGCAGAATTTTGTACGACTCGCGCATACCTGATTAAAACGATGAAAGGCAAAGCATTGCAAATTGTTCATTCGCACTTGGAAATGCAGAAGCAGATTGGTAGTTAATGAGCCTCTTGATCGTGTTCTTTGTAGTGGCTAATTGGTATCAGCATTCGTTCAGGGGTCGGTGGATGGCTCTGACTACCATTACGATTGCATCCTGGCTCCATCGGGTAGTCAGTGCGGCTACTTGCTAGGAGTGATGAGGGTTTTGTCATTGTGTTCGCCTCCATTGGGAGGTGGTAAGTCGTTGTAACAAACGGTCTGGTGGTTACTCGTCGTCGTGGTAGCTAGTTGCGCGTGCGGGAGTCGGTTATCGTGCGATCCTTTTCCTGCGGCTCTCATGTAAGCCCTAGTTGGAACCACTGGGCAGGGGGACGTTGTTTTGGCGTGGGAGGTGCCAAACCTGTTCAGAATCTCAAAGAAGGGTGGTTTTAGTACAAACTGAAGATGGGCATGAAATGGG